CTCTAGCACTCTCTATTCTAATTCTATTCTTTAAAAAAACTAACACTAACTTTTCTAATCTTTTTGTATTCTATCTATTTGTTTTCTTTTTATTTATTATACAATTATCAAAAGCAAAAAAGGCCTCTAACACTAGCTTGCTCTATTCTTTTCTATTCTATATATTCTTCTTTTTATTATTATATAATTTTAAAAAAAACCTTGCTATGTGTCCTGCGTTTATCTAACTGAGACTTGTTATAGCACTTGCATATCATTGCTCTTTTGTTGATTTTGATTGCTTGCATTGTCCTCATTTTTAAGTCGCTTTGGATAAAAGCGTCTGCTAAATGACTTAATGTAAATGTAATATAGTGTGTGCGTTTTATTAAATGTATATTTATTAATGTATTAGTGAGGTTTTATTGTGTTCACTAAGCTATCACACAATAATTTACATTTTATATACTGTGTATGTATATATATATATATATATATATATATATTATATGTATGTATATGTAGTCTTTTGCATCTCTAGAATGCATGCAGTCCTCGCTACCCTAACTAGTACATACTGATGCTGGAGACAAGTTACTTTTCACCTGATAATACATGAAAACAATGTCATTGGCTTCTGAACAGATTGAGCCATATATGTTGACAGAGCATCCATATCCATCTGTTGTGTAAGGGGGAGGTGTGGAAATCTATATTTATAGCCTCCCCTCATAACCCAAGAACCCAGTCAGTTCTGCTTGTGTTTTTAGTGAAAGCACTTCTTGTTTGTGCTTTACAGGATAATGTGAACCGCTCAGCTGGGCTAACTCCCATTGCGGTTTTAGCTCATCCAGAATAGAAAGCTTAACATATTCTCACCACACCTGAGGTGGCTGTCTAGTAGCGAGCTGGAAAATATTAATGGGATATAGTGAGCAGCTGACTGAACATTATCCAGAATTATGTGGCTACTTAGCAAATAAATAAATAAATGGACCTGAAATATTAGTTTATTAGCTACTATGAGGCTGCAAAGAGAATGAACAGCACAGCTATGTTGGAAACACAAGTAGGCAGTAACATATATAGCGTTGCTATGGGCAACAGTCATTATTCAGAAATATATCTGAATGTCGCGATTGATCAATCAAAATCAAGTATTCCATATAAAGCAATACATTCGTTTGACGACATGCTAGTTTTACGGTATAAGTATTGACAAGAGCTCTGCTAGTGTTCGCATCATCAATACATAATAAAACACATGTTATTGATACATATTGCTTTGAACAGAGTTTAACTGAACGCACAGCCTTTTTTCCTCGCGTTTAACATATTATTCACAGAATTATAAAAAAAAAATCAGTGTATTACATTTTCCACAAATATTAAGCAGCACAACTGTTTTCAACACTGATAATAATAAGAAATGTTTCTTGAGCAGCAAATCAGCACATTAGAATGATTTCTGAAAGATCATGTGACTTGGAGTAATGATGCTGTAAATTACATTTTAAAATAAATTAAAATAGGAAACAAATATTTAACCCCCTGAGGTTGAGGTCTCGTATTTTCTTGATGAGAAAAAACTACAAATACTCCTTCATTTTTGATCATACATATAAGAATAAGGTATCATCACCGAAACTGCAAAGGATCTACTTTTATTTGTGTATAGTCATAATAACAACAAAACAACATGCTTTTGTAAAATAAAGAAAATAACAGGGTGCGCTCTGTGCTGTCTCTGTCACCTCTCTTCACAGGCACGTAAATAAAACAACATGAATCTCCACGAATACTTGCCTCAAAGACATGAGAAATATATATATATAGAAAGCTTGAAGTGTCTACTTTTAAATGAAGTAGCCTAAGTCACGTCCAAAACAAATATTCTGTAAAGTAATCCATATGAAACCAACGCGATGTCCAGTTTTTCCTGTCTCAACTCATTACCTTTAATGCGGTCATGCCCACGAGCCGATCGTGCTTTTCAGATTCTAAACATCCACGTGAGACGCGCGCATGTAAACGCCCACATCGCCTCCACGTAAACAAACAAGTTCATCCCGGCTACTTTTTGTTTCTGGAGAAAGACGCGCTGAGAGGAATAACCCAGAATTTACCTCAGAAAAAGAACACAACACAATGCGTCGCGCAGCTAGATCCTGTGGAGAATATCATTCTGATGAGTAGCCTAAGATTACTTGCATCAGTTGTTATTGTGTTATTGTGACATAACTTGTACACATTTTACTAGTTAGACTTTTCCCAAACTGTAATTCCTGACTACATGTATGAAATCGAGTGAAACATTTTGAAATATGTGTAATTTTATTGTCTAAATGTCTCACAACGCCAAGATGTGTTTAATGTTTTGTAACATAAAACCACAAGATATAAAAGTAGTGTTAACACTATGATATTAGAGTCTATGAATGTTTGGCACAAAGGTGTGTTACTGTTCAAGTTTCAGTGTTCAGATCAGTATGTTCAATCATGTGTCCTTGACCTTCACTGTGTATATTTTTATTATACTGTGTTTTAAATAAAATACAAATAATAATCAAAAACCCACATTATTTTACTCTACACTCTTAAAAATAAAGGTGCTTCAAAAGGTTCTTCAAGCGATGCCATAGAAGAACCATTTTTGGTTCCACAAAGAACCATTCAGTCAAAGGTTCTTTAAAGAACCATTTCTTTCTTACCTTTTTATAATCTGAAGAACCTTTTTTTCGCCACAAAGAACCTTTTGTGAAACAGAAAGGTTCTTCAGATGTTAAAGGTTCTTTATGGAACCATTTAGACAAAAAGGTTCTTCTATGGCATCGTAAAGCACCTTTATTTTTAAGAGTGTACTCACACTCTTTCTTACCTGCCTCAGTCACATTCATATTGATGGCCCGTTATGGGAGGCCCTTTGTCTCTCAGGTGTGAATCACTAAATATTCATGTTCATTGTCACTCCCTCGCATACGGGCATTCTAGCACAAAACATGTTTTACAAATGTTAAATCAATATATTGTTTTCTGTGAATGAGTGAGCATGATCATTTTCACATAATTTTGTAGCAAAAACTCTAGTCTACCACATCCAGTTCTCAAAAGTCTTGTGAACAAATATTGTGTATGTGTTTTATGGCCTTATTTCAGTGACTTTAAAAATGTGTTTTTCACTAACCACGCATAAACATTGTTTTCTCAAAAACACAAACATGTACATTCATGCTGCTCACATATTATTGTAGCCCAGTTTGTGCTGAATACAGTGTTATCAGACTTGATACAGTGCCTTGTCATATTGCAAATGTCAGGGCATACCAAAACTTCTCCAGGGCCCCAAAACACCCTCAGACCCCAGAGGGTTAAAATCGTAGTAATATTTAACAATATAATTGTTTTTACTGTAGTTAAAGAAATGCAGCTTTGGTAAGCATAAGAGAAAACCCAGATAGAAATTGTTGTTCTAATTCATCTGACATATTAGTAGCATGTTGCAGTTGAGTGAACATGCTAAAAATGACATCTTCCAGATGAAAAAGCTACCTCAAAATGCTAAAGTGTTCGTATTACATTTCGGGAAGATGTGAATCGCAACATCTGGGAAGATAAACCAATATGTACCTCTGCTGTACTTACTTACTTTTTGAATTCTATCAGTAGACACAGTAGCAATGAAGCACCAGCTCTTATGCACTGGAAGAGAAAGAGCTAAAAAGATTCCTCACTTTTCTAAAAATCTATAATGAGCACCCGCTGATACAGAGTCAAGTGCTCCACGCTTACGACGTCAGCCACTGCAGTACGTGCAAGACCGCGTGTGTGTGAGTCATGCTTGTTCTCGCATTGACCCGCAGTCACATTCTCATGCATCATCCGCTCACAGGGCATTGCTGTGGCATCCTTTTTTGTTTGCAAATCAGCTCGACACAAGCCCACATACGCATATTTTCCTTTTTCGCAGAGGAATACCCTCACGGTTTAGTGGCTGTTTGTTATGGACGGTCAGTGCAGCACATTGTTTTCAGTGCTTCCTTCTGTAGGCAGTTCATCAAAAGGCTTCTTTCTGAGTCACGAGTCCAATAAAAGCTGTTGTTTTCTGAATGGACACCGGGCAGTGCTCCCAAATAAGCCACTTCATTCATATCAGTGTTTTTAAATTAGCAGCAGGGGTTGTTTTGGTTGTATTTTTTTTAGATTGCACTCGTTTTAAATCTTCTGTAGCGGCTAGCCTGCAGAGCTAGCATTACGTAAGTGTGTCACTTTGAATAACGGCATGCCGGATTTCCACTCTGCCTTTTTTTCCATTGTATCTCTCTTTTGTCATGCGCTGCCATCCACCCCCGCGGTCCACCTCGCCCATGAGTGGCAGGTGACATCAAGACTTTCATTGAGCATGCCAGCATGGTATTCAGTGGATAATCTGCATCACACCGGCGACCAACCCCCTCTCTAAGCCGCTACTGTGGCTGTCAATCTCAGATCAGTCGAGCGAAGCTTTATTGCTGCCGACGCGTCGTTGTGCTGCCGCACAGACCGCTTGATGAATGCTAATGCGGCCAGCGGCAGTCAAATCTTAAGTGACGTGCCAACATGTGAAGGTGTCGTGCACAAATAGCAGAAAATTCCCTCAGTTAAAATGAACTGATATCAAGATGTGTAAAATGCAATATTCAGTGTCTTTTGGGGTTAATTGGCATTGTATGCATCATGAGACTCACGTTTATGTTTGTAGTTACTATTTTATTGGTACTTTATGAGACCTTGTGACTAGAATGAATGGAAAATGCAATTCTTTTCAAATTATATCAAGTGTTTGACCTTCAAAATTGAGCCTGTGCACTTTAAAACATGTTTCTGATCGATTCGTCAGTGCATCTCATTCCAACAATTATTCCTAATCTTTCATCAACTCATTTTGCTCAGAAATGCAGTACACCTAACATGGGTCGTGAATGTGGTTCCATGTCTTTAACATGTCTTTTAACTCTCTCTTTCTCTATTGCTGTATTTCACAGGAGTGTTCCTCATTCCCTATGTGTTGTTCATATTTCTGGGAGGCATTCCGATATTCTTCCTGGAGATTGCGCTGGGTCAGTTTATGAAGGCTGGAAGCATCAATGTGTGGAACATTGCACCTCTTTTTAAAGGTTTGCTCTCTTTATGCATTTACTTTTTAAGCTGTGATGCTATTTTAGGTTGTCCCTTAAAACATTGCATTCTTTAAAACATGCATTCTTTATTTTTTTAGGTATTATATTATATTATAATACATTAAAATATTGTAATGTAACTTTTTTATATTTTTGTATATATTTTTATTTTAAATTTTTTTAGTGAAATGGTTTGTATCAGAATTAAGCCGCAAAATGTGTTTGTCTTATAAAACTATTACCTATCACAAATTTGATATTAAGTTATATTATATAAGATTATATCATTAATAAATTAAGATAGATAGATAGAGTTTAGATAAATACACATGCTGATGTATTTCAAAATTATATGGATATTTTATCTAAAAAAAGGGTACAAATACATTATTAGGATAGTATATAACTTCAGTGAATGCCCTTCAGTATATCCTTGCTTCATTCTGTAGTTCAAAGACAACATGAAATCAAATTTGACTCTGTTTACTGCCTTAATGTTTGATTCATCAGCACATGTTATTTAAGAGATACTCTACACCTGAAGGCCTTTATTTTCAGTTGTCTTTTACTGGTTTGTTTTAGGACTTGGCTTCGCCTCCATGGTGATTGTGTTCTTCTGTAACACGTACTACATCATGGTACTTACCTGGGGTTTCTACTACTTGATTAAGTCCTTCAATTCCACGCTGCCCTGGTCCACCTGCGACAACCCGTGGAACACCGAAAACTGCATCGAGATCTTCCGCCACGACGACTGCCAGAACGGCACCATTGGCAACTCAACATTTGGAAACCTGACGTGCGAAGAGCTTGCTAACGGGCGTTCCCCTATCATTGAATTCTGGGAGTGAGTGATCGTTTTTTACGCAGTTCATTTCTTACACAAACAAACAATATTTGAAATGCCTTTCACCACCCACTTTTCTTACATAAAAGTGGGTGGTGAAAGGCATTTCAAATATTGTTATTTAACAACTCTTCACAAGATGAATGTGTTTAAGAAAACAATGTTTGTTGTTAACAACTAAATGTTGTTACGGTTGTTCTCGCATTGACCCGCAGTCACATTCTCATGCATCATCCGCTCACAGGGCATTGCTGTGGCATCCTTTTTTGTTTGCAAATCAGCTCGACACAAGCCCACATATGCATATTTTCCTTTTTCGCAGAGGAATACCCTCACGGTTTAGTGGCTGTTTGTTATGGACGGTCAGTGCAGCACATTGTTTTCAGTGCTTCCTTCTGTAGGCAGTTCATCAAAAGGCTTCTTTCTGAGTCACGAGTCCAATAAAAGCTGTTGTTTTCTGAATGGACACCGGGCAGTGCTCCCAAATAAGCCACTTCATTCATATCAGTGTTTTTAAATTAGCAGCAGGGGTTGTTTTGGTTGTATTTTTTTTAGATTGCACTCGTTTTAAATCTTCTGTAGCGGCTAGCCTGCAGAGCTAGCATTACGTAAGTGTGTCACTTTGAATAACGGCATGCCGGATTTCCACTCTGCCTTTTTTTCCATTGTATCTCTCTTTTGTCATGCGCTGCCATCCACCCCCGCGGTCCACCTCGCCCATGAGTGGCAGGTGACATCAAGACTTTCATTGAGCATGCCAGCATGGTATTCAGTGGATAATCTGCATCACACCGGCGACCAACCCCCTCTCTAAGCCGCTACTGTGGCTGTCAATCTCAGATCAGTCGAGCGAAGCTTTATTGCTGCCGACGCGTCGTTGTGCTGCCGCACAGACCGCTTGATGAATGCTAATGCGGCCAGCGGCAGTCAAATCTTAAGTGACGTGCCAACATGTGAAGGTGTCGTGCACAAATAGCAGAAAATTCCCTCAGTTAAAATGAACTGATATCAAGATGTGTAAAATGCAATATTCAGTGTCTTTTGGGGTTAATTGGCATTGTATGCATCATGAGACTCACGTTTATGTTTGTAGTTACTATTTTATTGGTACTTTATGAGACCTTGTGACTAGAATGAATGGAAAATGCAATTCTTTTCAAATTATATCAAGTGTTTGACCTTCAAAATTGAGCCTGTGCACTTTAAAACATGTTTCTGATCGATTCGTCAGTGCATCTCATTCCAACAATTATTCCTAATCTTTCATCAACTCATTTTGCTCAGAAATGCAGTACACCTAACATGGGTCGTGAATGTGGTTCCATGTCTTTAACATGTCTTTTAACTCTCTCTTTCTCTATTGCTGTATTTCACAGGAGTGTTCCTCATTCCCTATGTGTTGTTCATATTTCTGGGAGGCATTCCGATATTCTTCCTGGAGATTGCGCTGGGTCAGTTTATGAAGGCTGGAAGCATCAATGTGTGGAACATTGCACCTCTTTTTAAAGGTTTGCTCTCTTTATGCATTTACTTTTTAAGCTGTGATGCTATTTTAGGTTGTCCCTTAAAACATTGCATTCTTTAAAACATGCATTCTTTATTTTTTTAGGTATTATATTATATTATAATACATTAAAATATTGTAATGTAACTTTTTTATATTTTTGTATATATTTTTATTTTAAATTTTTTTAGTGAAATGGTTTGTATCAGAATTAAGCCGCAAAATGTGTTTGTCTTATAAAACTATTACCTATCACAAATTTGATATTAAGTTATATTATATAAGATTATATCATTAATAAATTAAGATAGATAGATAGAGTTTAGATAAATACACATGCTGATGTATTTCAAAATTATATGGATATTTTATCTAAAAAAAGGGTACAAATACATTATTAGGATAGTATATAACTTCAGTGAATGCCCTTCAGTATATCCTTGCTTCATTCTGTAGTTCAAAGACAACATGAAATCAAATTTGACTCTGCCTTAATGTTTGATTCATCAGCACATGTTATATAAGAGATACTCTACACCTGAAGGCCTTTATTTTCAGTTGTCTTTTACTGGTTTGTTTTAGGACTTGGCTTCGCCTCCATGGTGATTGTGTTCTTCTGTAACACGTACTACATCATGGTACTTACCTGGGGTTTCTACTACTTGATTAAGTCCTTCAATTCCACGCTGCCCTGGTCCACCTGCGACAACCCGTGGAACACCGAAAACTGCATCGAGATCTTCCGCCACGACGACTGCCAGAACGGCACCATTGGCAACTCAACATTTGGAAACCTGACGTGCGAAGAGCTTGCTAACGGGCGTTCCCCTATCATTGAATTCTGGGAGTGAGTGATCGTTTTTTACGCAGTTCATTTCTTACACAAACAAACAATATTTGAAATGCCTTTCACCACCCACTTTTCTTACATAAAAGTGGGTGGTGAAAGGCATTTCAAATATTGTTATTTAACAACTCTTCACAAGATGAATGTGTTTAAGAAAACAATGTTTGTTGTTAACAACTAAATGTTGTTACGGTTAACTGTTATTAATCCCACATCAATACTCACATAATTTGTTGTCCGTTAGAAACGAGTGGCATTTCAGTTGCAAGTGATGTTGCCTGTACAAGCTTGAATCTGTATTATGTTTTTGAATCTGCAGTTAGCATTTCATATTATTGGTTATTGATTTGAAGATCCTCTATTGACTGTTCAGATCGGCTCATGGTTCGATTTAATGCCCTGAGTGACAGTAGACTATACCACTCTGGAAAGTCATCGCTTTCAAGCTATGTACGAGTTTATAGATTCAAATAAAAACTGCTTTGTGAGCATTATATAATTATATATATATATAAATATTATATAGTGCTTTCATTCATGAATGTCATTCTCCATCTCAGGAACAAGGTTCTGAACATCTCTGATGGGCTGGATGAGCCAGGCGTCATTAACTGGGAACTGATGCTGTGTCTTATGGCCGTGTGGGTGATGGTTTACTTCTGTGTGTGGAAGGGGGTGAAGTCAACAGGAAAGGTGAGACTCTCTTTCTTTCTTTCTTTAGTGCTTCTCATTACATGTGTGAACCCTGTGTAGGGTGAAGACAGGTAAAGCAGCACACAGTCACATGGACAGCAGAGAATCAAATACATGCACTACAACTTAAAGGGGTCATATGATGCGATTTCAAGTTTTCCTTTCTCTTTGGAGTGTTACAAGCTGATTGTGCATAGATAAGATCCCTGAAGTTGCAAAGACTAAAGTCTCAAAACCAAAGAGATATTCTTTATCAAAGTTAAGACTCTGCCACGCCCCCCTAAAACGGCTCGTTCTAACACGCCCCCACATATCTACCTCATTATGTGGAAATATTTGCATAATGTGCCCAAATGTGCAGGCAAAGAAAGAAGGCGTGGTTTCAGTAACCACAGTTAGTGTTGAGTAATTTCAGCGATTTGTAATACAAATAGCCAGTTGAATCCAGCTTCTTTTTTTAATCTCATTTGAAACTTTAATGAGAATTTAACAGTCAGTCTGCAGGTCATTTCACATGTACTTATGTAATCTTGCAATTATGCTGCACATAAATTCATAAAAATGTGTTTGCCAAAGACTGCATCATATTGCATTTCCCTTGTGCTCTCAAGTGCAGTGTGACTTGCTTGTGTAACCTTGATTTGCATAGCTCCACCCACTGCTGCTTTGTCACAGTCGTGCAGGAGTGAGGCAGAAAGGTAACCATAGCAACATTATTTGCAATGGGGGTGTGGCGGGAAATATTACAAAGTGCCCTGTCAGGAAGGCACTGTGAGACTGGTTGGTCATGAGCGGGTGTCTGCAGTGGGACGTGACAAGGTGCTCGTACAAATGGCCAACAGCCACATTCTCTCTCCGGGAGGCGGGATCATATGAACCCTTAGTAATATAATAACTTAATTTTATTTCTACTGCTTATTACTGTATAGAAGGTCATCCTTGTATTACGGACACGTTTCTTCTGCACTAAAGTTACTCCTGTGAACTCAAAGCAGGGCTTAATGTTTCTAATAAACAGCTAAAGAAGGCAAACAGTGGAAAGTAGGTTATTTGAACTCATATTTAGTTCCTAGCTCGTGTTTTTCCTTCATAGTTTTTCTTTGATGGAAAGGACACTGTGAGTAAGCGTTGAGTCAAGCTCATTCATAAATAAATGCTGTTCTTTCTATTCATCTAAGTATCTTTAAAAAATTGTATCGCGGGTTCCACAAAAATATAAATCTTTGGAAACTTTCCAGGATTTTTTTGGAATATTCCAGGGATTTTTGGAAAGTTTTTTCAAAACAGTCATTTTTATTAGTATTTAAAAAAAATAAAATAAATCAATCAATCAATAAATCAAATGAAATAAAGAAGTAAAAATTCCTATATTTTGAATCAGTTCATTTGGATGAATCATTGCACTAGAATGGGTTGGACTTTCAAACAGTACATACGAGAGAGGACAGAGATGATTAGAGACGATATAGTTGATGAACTTTTGTAACAGCTTTCATGTGAGGAACATACTCACTATATCTGGGAACAGTGCATACAGTATATTAGAATATACTATATTCCCAGTAATTTCAGCGATTTGTAATACAAATAGCCAGTTGAATCCAGCTTCTTTTTTTAATCTCATTTGAAACTTTAATGAGAATTTAACAGTCAGTCTGCAGGTCATTTCACATGTACTTATGTAATCTTGCAATTATGCTGCACATAAATTCATAAAAATGTGTTTGCCAAAGACTGCATCATATTGCATTTCCCTTGTGCTCTCAAGTGCAGTGTGACTTGCTTGTGTAACCTTGATTTGCATAGCTCCACCCACTGCTGCTTTGTCACAGTCGTGCAGGAGTGAGGCAGAAAGGTAACCATAGCAACATTATTTGCAATGGGGGTGTGGCGGGAAATATTACAAAGTGCCCTGTCAGGAAGGCACTGTGAGACTGGTTGGTCATGAGCGGGTGTCTGCAGTGGGACGTGACAAGGTGCTCGTACAAATGGCCAACAGCCACATTCTCTCTCCGGGAGGCGGGATCATATGAACCCTTAGTAATATAATAACTTAATTTTATTTCTACTGCTTATTACTGTATAGAAGGTCATCCTTGTATTACGGACATGTTTCTTCTGCACTAAAGTTACTCCTGTGAACTCAAAGCAGGGCTTAATGTTTCTAATAAACAGCTAAAGAAGGCAAACAGTGGAAAGTAGGTTATTTGAACTCATATTTAGTTCCTAGCTCGTGTTTTTCCTTCATAGTTTTTCTTTGATGGAAAGGACACTGTGAGTAAGCGTTGAGTCAAGCTCATTCAGACGACTGACGCGCACACACACACACACACACACACACACACACA